TTACAAAAATGGATTACCACATCTTACGCCCACTGAGCTGCTTGTGGGTTAGAACCTCTCACGGATTTGCTAACCTAGTGCTTTAACCACTGTGCCGCCAGGGTAAGTCCACCTTGCCTTATTTAATAATGTATTCCTATAAAATTGTGTGTCAATTGAATTTTCTTAGAAAAACTTTTATGTGAGTTTAGAATACATTCTATTTCTAGTATAAAATTAACTTGTATTCGTTGTTTATTGATGATTGCCAGAGTTTGTGCAAGAGCCCCCTAATGTTCAATTAGTCGACTTTTAATTAATCTAAGCAGTGTTCTTTTAATGGGACCAAGACAGTACATAGAGTACGTGGAGATTACTTCCAGCCCAGTGAAATAACCTGGATTCTCATGCTGGCTGTGCTACTCATTGTATTAGCTCTGTGACTTTAAAAACGTCATTTAATCTCTCCAAAATAATACCTTCTTATAAGGAGCCCTGGTGGCACTGTGGGTTAGGCATTGCATTGTTAACCACAAGTTGGCAGTTCAAACCCACTAGCTGCTCTACGGTAGAAAGCTGAGGCTGTCTGTTCCAGTGAAGATTTACAGCCTTGGAAGCCCTAAGGAGCAGTGCTACTCTGTTCGATAGGGTTACTGTGGGTCAGAACCACCTCGATGGCAGTGGATTACCTACTTGTAGCCGCAAATGTGATGATATGTGTGGAAATCCTCTGAAAATTGTAAAGCACAATCTAAATGCAGTAATGACGAGTTGCAGATGGTACTTGAGAAGCTTTGGCCAGAGCAGCCCAGGTGTCCCTGCTCCATTCAGCGTATGTGGTCTTGTAAAACTGAAAATGAATTGAATTTGCTTTTAAGTCATATTTTAATTTTTTTTTTTTTTACTATTGAAAAAAATTCTCTTTTAAATAGTTTATAACAAAAGCAGCTTTAATTTATTATCTAATTTATTTTGAGTATTCAACCAAAAAGTATGTGATTATACAGGTTTTTTTAATGATTATGTAATTAATCTCAGTACTGACATATTGTTTGTTGATAAGGAAAAATGCCTGGCCACTTTATTAGAGATAAGGAGCTCAAGCACCATTTACTGGCTATGTCTTGGAGTATAAACACTATTTCCACTGAAGAGTCCAGTGACTTTTTAAAAGATTCATGGTAGCAACATATCTTAGGAGAATTAACGTTTTACGTGATAAGAACTGAAGTGATAAGACAAAATGGCAACTCAGGCTTCATAAATGTTGTTGTTGTTGTTAAGTGCCATCGAGTCAGTTCTGACTCATTTCGATCCTGTATAGGGTTTCCAAGCAGTGGTTGGTGAGTTTGAACTGCCAACCTTGTGGCTCAATCTTGTGGTCCAGTGTTTTTTCCTACAGGTGAAGCATAATTTTCTGTTAAGGCCTTCTTCCCTGATGAAGAATTTTTGTTATTGTGAACTTAATATGAAAGGAAGAGAAATTGTGACTATTTTGGTGTATAAATAAAATGAGTATTATTTTGTATGTCTTTTATAATTATGTATTTTAACCTGAAAAATAGGTCTAAGCTATTTTAGAACAGACAGTAATTGTCAATTACCCTTTCTGTTTTAGGATGGGTTTCCATATGCCGCCATTCTGTTCCATTTCTCACTTACACCTTCATGTTATAGCACCAGTGAATCAGCTTGCCTTCTTCTCAAAATTGATTTACAGAGCCAATTCCTACTGGTTTATAACAGTAAGTGTTGTTGTTGTATCCATAGTTTACAAATATATTTAAAATATTTATCCTTTTTGTTTCAGGT